AGTAAAAATATGTTATTAAATGTGGTATTTTCACATGCTTTCAGATGGAGCAGCATTTACTTCACAGAGCCGTAGTTCACTGAGAAGCTATGCAAACAGCTGTCATTATCGCGAACGATTTCTTCGATTTCAGAATCGCGCAATAAAATCGTCTGCGATTTTTTTGCGTAACTTGTCCGTGAACTACGGCTATGTGTAGTAAATTCTGCTCCATCTGAAAGCATGTGATGGTGATTTCCTGCTGATTACAAAACCGGCTTTTTTAACAAAATGCACATGACAATCGCATTCGATTAATCGTGCAGCCCTAGTTGAGAGTGAGAAAATACTGAGGAAAAATTGCTGACAACTCACCTCATCAGAACTTCTGCTATTCGAAACCCAATACCTGATCCTCCGCCGGTTATAAAGGCCACCTGATCACTGCAAACACACAAAAATAAGTCTCTCTCTCTCTCTCTCTCTCTATATATATATATATATGCATAACTGCTGTTCAAAAGTTTGGGAACAGTAAGATTTTTAATGTTTTAAAGAGTTTTAAAGAAGTCTCGTTAAATTTTTCATCACAGGAATAAATTATATTTTAAAGTATATTAAAATAGAAAGCCATTATTTCAAATTGCAATAATATTTTACAGTATTACTGTTTTTTCTGTATTTCTGATCAAATAAATGCAGCCATGATGAGCAGAACAGACTTCTTTAAAAAAAACATTACAAATCTTACTGATCCCAAACTTTTGAACGGCAGTGTATATATGCATATTGAACAATGCATGGATTTCAAATGCAAAAGAATGAAAACTTCGGTGTTTATTGTGCTTACATGAGCAGATCAGGGCTGTAGATGTGTGAATATGTGTTCATGCACTCATCAGTCTCAATGTCCTCTGGTGAAGAATTATTGACCAGCTGATGTTTCTCTGCCATGATCCTTCTAAATAACCACATAAAGACATGAAAACCACCAAAAGGTCATTTGCATGCAAAAAGTCAACTTTTGCTTACATCGCAATAGCAAATGAGAGTCGGGCAACTAAAAATCCACATCTACTAAAACTATTAGATTTGTGATTTTGAAACCTCTCCCTTAACTCTTTGTTTTTGCAATGCGACAGCTAGAACAAAAATCCAAACAAAGCGTGAAATAAAGTTCAGAGTTACTTTACCCAAAATGTGAATCCGTTTGCACATGCGACCCGCTCCCGCGTAATTAATGAAGTTTATGCAACAGTTGTTTTCATTTTGCACGATGGACTTCTGTACCTGGCGAGATGCGTGACGTCAAACGAACGAGCCCACGTATAGCATTATGGGAAATGTAGTCCGCTTTTACTAGAGCTAGCAGTGATGCCGAGTGTAAAAGTTACATATTTTATTTGAACGTAATGACAAAAACTGATCACATTATATTCAATAAATAAACAAAAAAGCTCTGAGAAAGTTATCGATTAATAATCAAACATAGCGTATGTTTCTGAGACCTCAAAAAATAAAAGTACTGACTGCATCAGAATGATTAGCACTTTGGTATTTACATCAGTCAAAGGCATTTCAGAGAACACCAACGTGGTAGCATGGTCCTTTTTTATTAGTGAACAGTGTTGGGGGTAACGCACCACGAGTTACATAATCAGATTACACTTTTCAAGTAACTAGTAAAGTAATGCATTACTTTTACATTTTCAAGAAAATATCTGTTACTTTCTCAAATAAGTAACGCCAGTTGTCTGCGCTGTGTTCTAGACTAAATGTGAACTTGCATTTACTTAACTCAATTGCACAAAAACATTCAGTATTTCTCAAAATGAGTAAAAACTGTGAAATGCAAACTCAGAATATGTTACATAATTAAATATGTTAAATAACGTAAATATCCTTTATGTATTTAATCCCATTTTATTAACCAATGTCTTTGCTGCACTCTCTAGATTTAAAAAAGTAATGCAAAAGTAATATAACGCATTACTTTCCATAAAAGATAGCCGTTACATTTTTAGTGAGTAAAGCAATATTCTAATGCATTACTTTTAAAAGTAACTTCCCCCAACACTGTTAGTGAAATACAAAAAAATGTTGTACACAGGGCAGACCTATCTTGTTATATTTTTAAACGTGTTTATAAAGAAAAACACAACATAGCCTACTGGTAGATAAAAACCACAGCATTTTATTTCATGTAATGTCAAGTTGTATGTATTCACAATAAGACAATATAACTTCACTATTCATTTGAATGAATGAAAATGTATAAATGACAAATTAAAAAAAAACAGTTCATTTTTGCTTTTGTTCAAAGTTCTGGTCTATCACAGCAACTGCACGACCTGTTTGGCTCTCTGTTTTTTCTTTCCAACATCAAAAAATGACCGTGAATTTAACGGTAAAAGACTGTAAAAATGCTACAGTAAAAACCTGTTAAATGGTTAACGGTAAATTCCTCTACTATATACGGTGAAAAACTGTATTAAACATTACATGTATTGGACATTAATTTTACGGTAGTATACCGTTTTTGGAAGTGAAAAAGACCGTATAATTTACAGTGAATAACCGTAAATTGACATTCCCAGAATTCCCTGCTATGTTTCTTCTTAGTTTTTTCTTATCAGTTTTGTATATTAGGGTTGTGCGTTACACCTAATGTTGTTAAATGAATGTTAATTGCATTATTTCAGTTTCATGTGTGTCACCATGATGGTGTTTAGTGTTTGTGTGAATGACACTGTGCACCTTCTATATATGTTATTATTTAAAAGCTGCTTGTGATGGGCTTTGGTTCATCATGTGACTTTCTCATCACCACCTGCATTTGGTGGTTATCAGTGTATTACAAAGGTACAAAACAGATTTCAGTACTTCAATAGGTTGGTATATTAACATTACATCAGTTAATGAAATTACGGTATTTAACTGTAAATTTAAGTTAAAACCGTAAAACCTAAAACGTTACTACCGTATTTTTTACGGTAAAATTCCGATTTTTTTACCGTAAATTTTACAGATTTTTTTTTTACAGTGTGGTGAACTAATTTTGACACGTTTGTAACCCTGATTTTTTAGGCAGGTAAGCAGTTAAGCTTAAAATTAAACTGTGAATAAATAAATAAAAAATAGAGCATTGCTAAAAAAAAATAGATCATTGTTCAGTTCAATGTTCAGCGGCAGCTGTGACAGCTGAACAACAGAGCTCCGTATGGCCGGTTCGACTCGTTCGGATGCAGCCTTAGATATGGGTTGCAGCTGTAGTTAGCAACAATTTGTTAGTATTCTGACAATAAATGTTGTTAGTTTCATTTCCAAAATAATCAGTAGTAGTACATTCGTTAAGTACTAAGGTTTTTTTTTTCTCACAGGACAGCAACACTACAAAAATATGGTCTTTTACAACATGATGCATTGTTGTACATTAAATATTCAGAAGTAAAATGACTTTTTTATTAGTGAACAGTGTTGGGGGTAACGCACCACGAGTTACATAATCAGATTACACTTTTCAAGTAACTAGTAAAGTAATGCATTACTTTTACATTTTCAAGAAAATATCTGTTACTTTCTCAAATAAGTAACGCCAGTTGTCTGCGCTGTGTTCTAGACTAAATGTGAACTTGCATTTACTTAACTCAATTGCACAAAAACATTCAGTATTTCTCAAAATGAGTAAAAACTGTGAAATGCAAACTCAGAATATGTTACATAATTAAATATGTTAAATAACATAAATATCCTTTATGTATTTAATCCCATTTTATTAACCAATGTCTTTGCTGCACTCTCTAGATTTAAAAAAGTAATGCAAAAGTAATATAACGCATTACTTTCCATAAAAGATAGCCGTTACATTTTTAGTGAGTAAAGCAATATTCTAATGCATTACTTTTAAAAGTAACTTCCCCCAACACTGTTAGTGAAATACTAAAAAATGTTGTACACAGGGCAGACCTATCTTGTTATATTTTTAAACGTGTTTAAAGAAAAACACAACATAGCCTACTGGTAGATAAAAACCACAGCATTTTATTTTATGTAATGTCAAGTTGTATGTATTCACAATAAGACAATATGACTTCACTATTCATTTGAATGAATGAAAATGTATAAATGACAAATTAAAAAAAAACAGTTCATTTTTGCTTTTGTTCAAAGTTCTGGTCTATCACAGCAACTGCACGACCTGTTTGGCTCTCTGTTTTTTCTTTCCAACATCAAAAAATGACCGTGAATTTAACGGTAAAAGACTGTAAAAATGCTACAGTAAAAACCTGTTAAATGGTTAACGGTAAATTCCTCTACTATATACGGTGAAAAACTGTATTAAACATTACATGTATTGGACATTAATTTTACGGTAGTATACCGTTTTTGGAAGTGAAAAAGACCGTATAATTTACAGTGAATAACCATAAATTGACATTCCCAGAATTCCCTGCGTCACAGTTTTTTTTGTTGAAATAACTGTTTCTTCTTAGTTTTTTCTTATCAGTTTTGTATATTAGGGTTGTGTGTTACACCTAATGTTGTTAAATTAATGTTTATTGCATTATTTCAGTTTCATGTGTGTCACCATGATGGTGTTTAGTGTTTGTGTGAATGACACCGTGCACCTTCTATATATGTTATTATTTAAAAGCTGCTTGTGGTGGGCTTTGGTTCATCATGTGACTTTCTCATCACCACCTGCATTTGGTGGTTATCAGTGTATTACAAAGGTACAAAACAGTCTGTTCAATAGGTTGGTATATTAACATTATATCAGTTAATGAAATTACGGTATTTAACTGTAAATTTAAGTTAAAACTGTAAAACCTAAAACGTTGCTACCGTACTTTTTACGGTAAAATTCCGGCAACCACAGCTGCCGGTTTTTTACCGTAAATTTTACGGAATTTTTTTTACAGTGTGTATCTTCCTCTTCTCCTCGTCCTTCCCAGCACACAATCGCTTCAGCTTTCTGCAATGTGATGCCTCGCGACGCTCCACGCAGACCTTCAAGATACGCTAGCAACACCTTGAAATGATCGTCAGACACCTGAAATAGAGAGAGAAACGCATGCATATGCAGTCAAAACAGTTGAACTTGAAAAAAGGTTGATATTGATAGTGGAAAAAGTAATGTTTTTGGTACAAAGATACCAAAATAAATAGAAATAAAATGCATGATTTAAAACAAAATCAGTAGGAAAGCCCGTGCTCCATGTTTTATTACTGTGATAAGTGTGTAGTAAATTAGAAAGCTGTAGAGGTCACTGATGATTGTGATGTTTCTTGTACCTTTGTGCTGTCTGTCATACATGTGCTGCAGTAACTGCTTTTGTGAAACTTCCACTGCTCCCGTCTCTCACACCAGCTAAACAAGCACACAAACATAAAGTAAATCCATTAAAACAATGTTTAACAATCTGTGGTAGAACTGGGAAACATATACATGCATTCAAATAACTATGTTTGTGTCTCACCATGTGAGGCAATCCAGCGCCTTTCTCTCTCTACATGCATGAGTTAACTTGACCATCTCTTCTTTTATGCTTTTGCCTTCTTCCTTCAGTTTCTTCTTCTCCTCCTTTTTCAGAATCTTCTTCAACTTTCTCTCCAGCACTCGTTTCTCCTCAGGACTCAGATCTTCCTCACCATCTGAGCCGTTTTCATCCTCTGCTCCAGATGCTCCAATTTAATGTGACCTTCTAAAATCTCCATA